TGGGCCTGGCAGCCTTACTTGGGTCTCAGAGCCTCTCTGACAAGCTTTTGTGAAGAACTGCAGTCTGCAAGGCGACCCAGAGCAGAGTGCCACCAGCAATCAGTTCAGGGAGTCTGGTGCCAGCCTGAATCCGGAGGCTCCAGAGGGCTGGTAGGAGGAGCAGAGGCAAGGAGGGGAGGCAAGGACCCGGCAGGGGTCAAGCAGTGCAGGACTTTGTGAGCCACGGGGGGTCACATGCCGGCTCCACCCTGGGGCTGTTGTGTGGCCATCTTAGATTCAGGCTCCCAGGGGTTCCTGTGGGCCTGGTTGGCAGCCCGTAGACAGCGGTGACAGCAGGGATCTGAGTGAGAGATGCTGGGCTCAATTTGCCCATTGGACACAGTGGACAGACTTTTGGTGTGCGCTGAGGGAAGAATCAACCACTACAAAAAAGACAGGGGATGCACAAGGAAACGTCCATTCTCTATCCCACCGTGGTGTTCCTGCCACGTGAGGCTATCAGATATCCAATCCAAGACAGGCACAGCTCCATGCTGGTTCGGGGGCCCTGGAGCAGGGGCGGTGGGCGGTGCCATGACCCTGGGAGCCAGGGGACCGTGACAAGGTGTGCGGTCTCATGTGGACATTGTTGATCTGCCAGGCGTGCCAGCAGCTCCGTGCCTGCCCTCCCCCCTCCTGCTGCGGAGCTGCAGCTATAAACTAGCAAGTGACAGAGCGGAGCAGACCAGACACAAGGTCACAGACAGCCGTTCTGTGACTGACATGTGTCTCTCTGACCTGCCACCGTGTCTCCCCTTTCCTACCAGCAGGAAGGAGCCACACAGAGCAAGAAGAAACACAAAGCCGAGTCAACCGTGGCATCCTGAGAAGCAGTTCCACCCATCACCGGCCATGCCCTCTCTGGGCAGAGCAGCTGGCTTTGGGACATGAACCGTTTGGCTGCTTTGTTGTAGCTTCTCCCATTCCGAGCTGCAGCTTTTCCCCACAAATGACTGATGATTCTTGCCACCCCACTCTCTGTCTCCCCCAGAGGAGCAGGAGGGATGCTCTCCACCTAAAACTTCTCCAGGCCAGGTTGGTGCCTAAGAGGGTGGGGCTGGACTGTCATCCTGGCTCGTCAGCTTCCCCCTTAGTACAATAGGAAAGTGTGAGGTGTCCCAGTTATACCTGCAGCCAATGGCACTGCCTCATCATCTACCTACTGGGCGCTCACACCAGGTGTGGCCCTCTAGGGTCTCAGAGGACAGATGCAGAGAGAGAGGACCTCCAGTACAGCACAAAGGGAGAGGTGGACGTGAAGTGGAGGGAAAAGGAGGGGAGAGGGATGCACAAGCCAGAAAAGAGGAGGCTACACAGCCAAGAGGAGGAGGACAGAGCCCCACAACGCTGGAGTTGAACTGATGGAGGGACCCATCAGGCACAGGCCTGGGACCTGGCAGGGCACCCGCTCTCTAGGCTGGGAGAGAGAAGAGAACCGGGAAAGGACTCTGGGAAGGAAAGAAAGAAGGTGGGACTTCCTTCCTCGGAGTGGGGCTCCAGGTTCAAGTCGCATTGCATCCTGCAGAATCTCAGCAAGGCCTCACAGCAGCTCATGGCCTGGGCAGGCCACCCATAGGTTCGAGTCTGCTTTCTCTCTCAGGACCAGGCAGTCTCTGCCTCCTTCCTATGTCAGCATTGCATAATGTCCCAAAGCAAGGCCTGGCTCACTGCCAGCATCAATGGACACAAACGGAGGAAGATGATGTTGGAATATCTAAATGAAAACAATAATGATCACAGCCTTCTCTCCTCCCGTCCCTCCAGGCCTCACGGGGACTGCTGAGTGTTATTGGAATTGAAGACAGAGAGCTACTTGTGCGCGTCTCCCCGCTCACTGCTCTCTCTCCCTCTGAGTCTCTCGCTGCTTCTTTTAAGATTCTCATCTGTGTGGTGCAGCAAGTGTCTGGAGCTGAGGAGCATCAGGCAGCTCTCTTTCATCCCTACCCTCAAACAGCCTCCATCTCCCCCAAAGACCGGACTTTATTTTATGCGCTCACATTTTGCGAACATCATCCTGCTTTCCTTACAAAACAGCATTTTGTCTAACATTGAGGAGGCGTGGGAAAAAATAATGATAAATAGGGAAAGGGGAGAGGGTTAGGAAAATTAATAGCAATGGAGAAGAGCGAAGTGCCAGCCTGACAGAAAATGAACCCCTTCCCCGAGCACCTCAACAAGTGGAGATGGAGAGGCCATCAAGCTCAGCTAACATCTGTCGTCCAATTACAGTCAACAGTGCACAGGTGTAGAGAGGAAAGAGTCACTTTCTTCATCTCAGGAACAAAAGCACCCTTCCCTCTAGGGAGCTCTGCTCTCAGCCACAGTCCCTGGGGGTGGTGGCTAGGCAGGGGCAGGCTGGAGCCACCCCCTCATCCCTCCCTGAGCTAGACCCAGAAGCAACATTCCCAGGAAGCTCCCAGACAGGGCAGACTTCCCAGGCAGGGGAGCACCAACTGCAGAGGTCATGAAATATCCTGGTCTGAGGTCCTGCTCCCCAAAGCTCCCTGTGTGTGGGTCTCAGATGGGGGGGGGCAGAATCTGCATTTTCCTGAGCCCAGTCAGGGCCTTCGGTGCAGGCAATGCACAAGGCACGGTGGGCCTGCCCAGCTGACCTGCCCTGCACAGAGGGGCCTGGTAAGCAGCATGTTTAACAAGCTCTGCTGACCCCCAATGCACCCACCTTTTAAGCCACAGACCAGCCCCGGCCCTGGGGAAGCACAGCTCTGTGTGTGCAAGCTGGATTTGCTCTGCCCTCAGTGTCCGCCCTGCCGCAGTCAGAGTTAAGTCTGACAAACCAATGCTCTCTACTGGACTTGTGTGGGTTACTGCAACGCTTCACAGCCCCGTTCCTGGAGGCCGGCTTCCCACAAGGTGCTGTCCATTGCCTCGGCCGGCTTCTGCAAACATGGAAGTGTTAAGAGGGTCCCCAGTGACTAGATACTGAGGGAGAGAATACATTTGCCCCGCCGGTGGTGGGCTCATTGACACGAGCTCCTGCATTTATAGGTGATCCTTGGGATCTGCCCTGCCTAGAAGCCACAGTGTGTTTCAGTAGAGCCCGGTGGATGGTTCACGTGGGTAATACCAGCGACTCCCAAAACAGAGCCAGCAGGGGCACAAGTTTGCAGCTAGCCCAAAGTATGTAAACGCTGTCCTAAACACAACATACAAGGGGCTTGGGTTATGGTTCAAGTGGTAGAGTGTATGGCGTGCCACACCCCCGGGGTTTAATAATCCCCAATACCACAAAAAAGAATGAAGGACCCTCAGATATCCCATGGCAAGCATGAGGGAGGTGGACTGTAGGTACTTTGGGGGCCCTGAAGACCCCCCTGCTCCAGGCTCTCCCCCAATTTAGCATAGTCAGCAGCCTCACAGAATAGATGAGAGCAGACACACACCTCTTCTGAGAAACACTCTACACCGTTGCTTGGGCCTTCTAAGACACAGGTGTAGCCCCACTGAAGAGCACCTCTACACCACATCGAGGACAGGTGGGTTCAGCAGCTGCGATGAGGCCCAGCGGCGGGAAAGCACCTAGAAGTTGGGAGGCACAGGGAGTCTTTCCAAGGCCTGGGCAGCAGGTGAGGAATGGAATTCTCCACGGTGGGTGGGTTTTGGACAGGTTTGTTCACCAACCTCACTTCTGCGCGGGCGCTCTGGGAGTCTGACCATAATGATAAACCTGGCCAATTGTCCATGGAAGGAAGTGCAGCAGGTGCTGAACGGACAAGGGATGGGGGGAGGGGGTTCTGATTTGATGTCCCATACACGAGTCCATTTACAGAAACCTAACCTAGCCTCACACCCTTCCTGGGAGAACTCTCTCGGCCTCCCTCCAGTTGTCTACAATCTGATGGCAGAGGGGCACTAGCCAGTAGACTGCTCCCAGGGTGGGGTCTGGGAAGGGAAGGAAGGAAGGGGCTCTCTGGCCCAGGTCGACTCTGTCTGACCTTGCAGTTCAACCATGTCACGGCTCTTCTATTTTCTCCTCTGTGCGGAGTTTCTTAGGCCAGAACAAACATATTCTAGACAGAGTTCCTCCAAACCAAGACAAAGAAAAACCAAAATATGGGAGCAAGCAAACCCACTTTCCTGTAAGTCTGAGCGACAGGAAGCTCGCAGAAACCTGGCTGGTTCTCCAAGGTGCTGCTGTCCCTCCCGCTCCTGGGTTAAAAATCACCCAGGCCGAGCAAATGCACCAGCTGGCAGGGACTCCTCCTTACCTGGGCCTCGGGTTCCTTCCTGGGTTGGGATGCGAAAGCGGATTCCTCCACTCTAGGTCCTGAGGTCCTTTCCCAGCGAGCTCGTCCTAGGGCGGGGGCCAGCCGCGCCGGTCCCAGCCTCTGCCCCCCCACCCCCGTCCAGGAGTAACCTTCCCTCCCCAGCTTCGTGGACATGGGGCGTCCAGGAGGGCTCGGGCCCTTAGAAGAAAGGAGGAGGGAGGAGTGGAGCCCCACGCGCGCTCGGCGGGGTGCGAGGCGTGGGGACCGGGACCCTTCCCTCCCCCTGTCCCGGAGCCCGAGGGCCCGGGGCTCCGCGCCGCGAGGCGGCCGGCTGCGGGCGAGCGGGCTCGGCGTGCGGGGCGCGGGCCCTTTAAGGCCCGCGTCAGGCCGGGCGGCGGGCCGGCGGGGCGGGGCCTCGCGGGGCGCCGCGCGGCTTCACCTGCAGTTGCGGGCGGGCGCGCGGAGCAGAGGCGCGGGCGGCGGCGGGGCCGGCGGACGCACCGGCCGGGAGGGAGCGCGCCGCCGGCCGGACTTGGCCCGGCTCCCGAGCCGGGCAGCGAGCGCAGCGGGGCCGGAGCTCGAGCCGGCGCGGGCGCGGGCGCGGGCGCGGGCGGCGGGGACACCGGAGCCCGGCGGAGCCCGGCGACCGAAGCAGACCGGAGCCCGGCGGAGACGGAGCCGCGAGCGGCCGCGGACGCCGGGCAGGGGCGGCGCCGGGACGGCGCGGCGGGGAAGATGACCGCGGGCGCCGGCGTGCTGCTCCTGCTGCTCGCGCTCCCCGGCGCGCTCCGGGTAAGTTGCCGCCGCCCGCCCGCCCGGCCGGCCCGAGCCCGCGGCGGCGCGGTCGCCCCCGGGGCCGGCGGGGCTGCCCCGGCTCTCGGGCCGGCCCTGGGCGTGCGGGGCGCGCGCTCCGGCCCCGAGCCGGGCTCCGCGACGCCGCCCGCGGCCGGTGGAGCGCGGAGCCGAGGGGCGGCGGGAGCCGCGGTGCGGAGCCGGGCGGGGCGCGGGGCTGCGACGGGACCCGCCGGGCTTCCTCCGGCCGGCCCGAGCCCCGGGGCTGTGCGGAGCCCGGCTGCCCACCGCCGGGAGCCGCGCGCCCCTGGAGTTCGAGCGCGGCGGGGCCGGGGCGCAGGGAGCCGGGCGGAGCCGGGCTCGGAGGCCGAGCGGGCGCGGGGGGTGCGGGCCGAGCCGGTCGGGTCCCGGCTGTCCGATCCGGCGGACGAGGGGCGTCTTGGCCGCCGGGCTCGGCGCGGCCCGGCCGGAGCCTCGGATCCGGCGCGGCGCCGCGGAGCGAGCGGCGGGCGCAGGGCTGACGGCGCCCGCGGAGAGCGGTCCGGGCGCCGCCTTCCTGCGGAGCCCGCGGCCGGAGCGGCCCCGCTCCGCCCGGCTCGGCGCTCCGCCCGGGGCGGTGCGCGGCGGCGCCGGGGCTGCGGGAACCCACGCCCGCCCGCGGCCGATCGGCCTCGCGGCCGCCCCCAGCCTCGAAATCACAACCTCGCCGCCGAGTGCCGGGGCCGGAGGCCGCCGCGAAGCCGGGCCCAGGGCGCTGGGACACTGGGGCACACGCCCGGGAAGGACGGAAACTTTCCCCGCGGAGCGTCGCCTCCCGGGCCGCAGGTGCTACCGGGGCTGGGCTCGCTCCCGGCGCATCCCCGGGAAACACCCGAGCGCGCGCAGCCCTTTCTGGGGTGGACAGGCGCCGCGTGGGGGCTCGGCGTCCGGCCGGGGCCGCCCTGGCCCGGGCGGCGGCGCCCGCGGAGTCCGCGGCCGGCCGGGAGGCGCGTTCCGCCCCGGCGGCCCCGCCGAGGCGCGGCTGCGGGGCGTGGGCTGCGCCGGGGCTCCCCGCGCTCTCCGGGGTGGGGTGCGGGGCACAGCGCGCCGCGTGCTCTTCGGGCTGCGGGCTGGCGCGGGGCGAGCCTGACCCCCGGCCCCGCCAGCTCGGGAGGGGCTGTGCCGCGCACATCGCCCTTCCTCCCCCGCCGAGCTTGCACCCTGGACTCTTGCTGGGGCGCAGCCGCCGCAGGGAAGAACCTGCCCTGGTTTAGGCTGAACAAGTGTCCACGGAGGAGGGGGAAGGAGGAGGAGGGCAGGCGCCCCACCCTCCCGGGTCCGGGAAGACCCCCTCCCTGCGCTCTCCATCCTCTCCCCCCCACCCCGTGGCCTGCCTGGGGAGCCGCCGGCTCCACCGCCCCTGGCGCCCAGGGAGGAACGGCCCTGCGGCCTCACTCCTTCCCCGTGTGCACACCCAAGTCAGCAGCGCGCCTTGGGGACATTTCTCCTCCTGGAGCCCTGCCACGTGCCCGTGGAGCCGCCCAGGGTCCCTGCAGGAGTGGGTCCCTGCAGCAGGCACAGCCTTCCGTCCCGTGCTGGGGACAGATCCTCCCTGGCTAGTCCCCGGAGACCGACCTGAGACTCCCGAGGCCACCTCTGGGTGGAGACTGTGGTGGATCAGCTCTTCTCTCCGCCGGCGGCAGGCGTGAGGAATGTGGGTTGGATTAAATTTCTGGGAACTTATTTTTGTTTAACCGATTTCCTTTCTGCTTCCAGGCCCACGATGCAGATCTTACGGCCAGAGAGACTTGCAAGGCTGGCTTCTCAGAAGAAGACTACACCGCCTTGATCTCGCCCAACGTTCTAGAAGGAGAGAAGCTACTCAAAGGTAGGACAGACGACGTGAGGGATGGAGGGGCGGAGGGAGGCGTCCTCTCCTCTGGGGAAGACCGGTGGCAAGGCTTGTCTGGTCTTGGAACATTGCTTTCTGCGAGACAACATCTGTGAGATCGAGCAGGTACAAGTCTGTCCACCCAAAAGGCACTTTGTATGCAGGTGACTGATTGAGAATCTGTTTCTTTGGAGGGTGGTGAATCACTGCCCAGGCCTCAAATGGGAATTCAGATGTAACATCACCCCTATAGCATGCAGGGAGAAACTTTCCTATCAAGTGTTTTTATGTATGAAATTCTGGATTCTTAAATTACCCCTGCTTTGAAATGCATGATAAAACAGACGATGTTGTTGGAAAGGCGGTAAATAAGCCCACAGACGTTCTGTTCGAAAATGTGGCATTCATTTTCATTACTGCCCGGGTGACAACAGGAAAACACACATGCAGCCGGGAACCACCAATTAGCTCTGTGGCAGTCCGGGATCTGGTCCACACCGCCTGCCACGGCAAGTTGGCAGCAGTTGGAGAATTCGAATGACAATAGATCATTCTGCACATTGAACTGTTTCCCTTTCAAGACAAACTGTATTTGCATAAGAGAAGAATTAAATCCATTCTTGGTTCCCCAGCTTAGTGCTTCAGAACTGGCCTGAGAGCATCTTGGGTAGCTAGCTGCTTTCTCTGCTTTCTCTCTCAGTCTCCATTTCCCAGAGGTGGCAGGCTTGGAGCTGATTTCAAAGTGATAGAGGAGTGGACTTTGCAGACTGTGTCAGAGCGAAGTCTCGGTATTCACACTTACAGCGTCCTCAGGCTGTTCACTCGTCTGCCAGTGTTGTGTTCCAGAAATATAGACTCTTCCCCTGAGATTTGTCAGCAATTGTATGTGTGTGTGTGTGTGTGTGTGTGTGTGTGTGTGTGTGTGTGAGAGAGAGAGAGAGAGAGAGAGAGAGAGAGAGAGAGAGAGAGTGACATCAATTGCTGTGTGCACGTGTGGTACATGTAAGCTCTTGCTTGTACATACTGGGCAGAGATTTTAGATACTCACTCTTTTAGACCTAGCTTGATGACTTTCTTGCTTGTTCCTAATTTTGTGAGTCTTGTGACTTAGGATTCTTACTTTGCACCAAAGCTGACTTTTATTTCTTTTATTTGCTTATTTATTGCTTCCTTTTGGTTTCTGAGTCATGATACTATTGAATGTCACTGATCGTGAAAACCAAGAGTCTCCAGGCAGGTGGCCTGGGAGGGGAATGGAGGCCCCCCTGGAGCAGGCCCATGTGAGTGTTTTCGGATGCGCTGCCACTTGTGTGAGGGGCCGGTTTGGAGTTTGACAGGTGGCTGCTCTGTCTTTCGGAGCTCCCTGTGGTTTAGTCTTATGTGTGCATCCTGGAAGCTCCCCACAGCACCTGGGAGCTGGTGATAAACAAGATAAGATCTGACACTGTCAATTTCACGCAGAGTCTCAGAGACCGTCAGAAAAAATGCCGGTCTTAGGGATGACAAGGACTGCCCAACAGAAGAGGCAAATATTTATGTATGTGTGTGTATGTGTATTTAGTTATTATTAGCAGTGCTGGGGTTTGAACTCAAGGCTTTGCGTTCGCTAGGCAAGTGTTCTGCCCTTTGAGCCATACACCAAGTCTCTTTTGCTTTAATTATTTTTCTAATAGGTCTCACTCCCCGCAGCTACACTACCATCTTCCTATCTATGCTTCCTAGGTAGTTGGGTTGACAGGCACGCTTCCGACTTTTGATTGGGATCTTGCTGCTACCTTTTTGCTTTGGCTGAACTTGAACTGCAATTCTCTTCACCTCTGCCTCCCTTGTAGCTGGCAAGAGCCACCATGCCTGGCCACATTTCCACGCTTGTCCCCATGTACAGTGAGATTTCAAACAGGTATCCCTCCCCTGTTGTGGGTGGGCACCCCCGCTGGGCTGTGCGCTGCCACTGGCAGGTGTGGAGAGGAAGCTGGACAGTGGGCAGAGCTTTGGCCTGGCCCATGTCCACCTCCCAGCACCCGTGATCCTGGGTCATTCCCTGGCCCTCCTCTGCGGTGGGCTGTGGGCACAGGTCACGTTGCTTCTGCCCTCCCAGATTGCACCCCACATGCACGTTTTCTCCTCCTCACTCCTAAGGTGTAGAATGCCCAAAGCGAAGGGCTGTTTTCGTATCTTAGAAATAATTTTACACATGTGACAGCAAAAACTGAAACTGATGGACTCAAGTCAGGACACGCACAGTCTCGCTATGTGAGGAAAACTTTGCAGACCTGACAACCAGGAGAGGGTGACCACGTGAAAAACAAATAAGCCCGGTGTTTCCAGTTGGAATCCAGCTAAATAGGCAATGACTGCTTATAATTGAGTTATTCCAACAGAGAGAGCTTACCCTTAATTTGAAAAGCAGAGCTTCGAGAGCCGGGTTTGCTGTGAATGCGCATGAGGCATTAGCGGCCGCTCGTGGGCCGCCCTCTTTGCCTGAGTCAGCTCCACTGCAGCCCCAGCACACACGGATTCCAGCAGGAGTGATTTGTTATACAGTAATTAACTTGTTTATGATAAATGGGTGGAAGAAATGTCGTGGCATTTTGCTTTATGTCTAAATGAAAAGCATTTGCCTTCCAAAAATTCCATGCTAATTAGGCTTAAAATAGTTTTCCCCAACAGGGTAACAAATACTATCTATTGTGACCCTTTAGAGAAAAGGAGCCACTCAGAACAGAAAGGCAGGGTGCTCTCTAGGCAGGCTGGTTTGTGGGGCTGCTGGGTCCCTTGGGCCGCATGCTTCCTGTCTGCTTGGGAGGACAAGCGTTCGAATGTGATTGCCCGTACACACGCAGCTGTCATTCACTTTGGGCCCTGATTGCCGGCGTGAGGTGGCATCTAAGCCAGGTTGGTCAGGGCACTTTCCGAGGGTTAACAGCGCCAGCTCTGAGCCTTGCTGGAGTCTAGTGTCTCCTCTGTGAATAATTAATGATCAGCCGGCCCAAGTGGGAGGAGGAGGGGGCAGCCGGATGCAGTGCCCTGCAGTGCCAGCCAGCTCCGTGGACAGAGCCGGGGCCAGCCTCACAGTACAGCCACAGGACTTGGGGCGGGCAGCGGCGACATGGCTGCAAAGGACGACTGTGCGTTGTCTCCACATCACGGAGGAAAGGTGGCAGGTGAGCAGAGACATCACCCAGGCGGAGAGCAGGGCTGGGGTCTGGAAGTCACCTGAGCCAAGGGAAAGAATGAAGCAGGGTGAAGAGTTCTGTGTTTGATGACCTCATTTCATGAGACTGGTTCAGAATACCTTCCCCCTGCTGTCCCCAGAACCTCCACACAGCTCCTGTACCCCTCCCCCATGCTTCCCCTCGGTTAATTGGCACTTTGTTATGATCACTTATTTCTTTCCTAAACTGAAGTCGTGGAAGCCTGTCACAATTGTTTACCACATCTTTGGGCCAGGCTGTACTTGGCAGACAGGATAAAACTTTCCAACAGAATCTAGAATACATTTTTCTTGGTCAGTGATGTAGTCAAGGGCTAGAGCCCAGACTTTATCTTCCTACCATCCTTAGCATGTTCGTTTATTGCCTTTTCATGGCAACGTAGCTGAGGCAGCTCCCCGTGTTCTATCTGAGATCAGGGCAGAAACAGGGAAGAGGAGCACTTCTTTCTCACAGGGCCTGCAAGCATTCTTATTGGCTGGAACCAGGTCACATGTCACTCTGCTGAGAAAACAGAATTGCCCTGTCGTGTTTGGCTTAGGTTCCTTACCACCCCTCACTTTGATGAGGATCACACTCGGGAAGACCTGGGATTCTGGGGAGGAATGGACACTGGGCACAGTGGGCCTGGGCACCAGGCAGGGAGTGAGGAACTGACCCACAGGGAACACGGCTGGGGAGAAGAGGTTGCAGCAGCCAGCTGGCTGGCCGGCAGGTGGCTTTGGTAGGTGAATGGGCAAGCAGATGAGCCTGTCCTACCCCAAGCCCAGTCCTGGGTGCTGCGCCCCCATGTGGCTAGAAGATGCCACACGGCCTGTGAGCAGCTGGCATGATTAAAACCCTGCAGGCTTTAACATCCTTCCTCTCTCTTTGTAGTGACTTCTAATGTCCCAACCCACTTGTCTGACCACCACCCCTATTTAAATATGCGTGTAGGCTCTTAGACAAAGGGAGCCTTGCAGCCTCTCCCTGCTCAGGGGTGCCCAGTTAGGTTAGACTGGGAAAGCTGCGTGTTATATATATTTCCTAAGTAAAAGGAAAGGCCTTTACCGGTGATGTCTTCTGTCCTTTGTCCTTATTTTTTCCTTCTGCCTGGAACACAAGCAGGATGTCTGGGATGGAGCAGCTGTTTCATGACTATGAGGATGGTAGAGTAGAATGGGTCCCAGTGCACCCTTGAGCAACTACAAGACTCAGAATCATTGCCTCCTAAGAGGAGAGAACAATCAGGTGAAAACGCTGCCCACCTCGCAGAGCCGCACGCAGAGCCTGCTTTGCACCTTCTTGGCTATCTGCAGGGCTGTCCTAGACCATCACGGCCTTCAGGTTTATGGTAGCTTTTCCCCATGTTCGCAGTACATAGGTATAAGGATAAAAGATAAGCCAGCCACAGAGAGAAGGCAGGAAACAGGGTGGCTCTTAGCAGTCACAACCCGGGGCAGAGCAGCAAGAGGTGCCACCCTCTGCTTCTTTGCAGCTGCTTCTCTTTGTGCCTCACATCCCGGGTGGGAAGCCCACGCCAGGCTGTGTGCAAGGAGTTCTTGTCCCTGTCACCTGCGTCCTGTGTTGTGGGGAGGGATCAGCGGAGCCGAGTCCGTTGGTTCCGGTTCCCTGTGACTGTCTGCTGCCTCAGAACTGCACCTTCCGCTGGCCCTCGGCCCCCATGCCGTTCCAGACAGGAGCTTTGTGAGCTATTAATTAAGGGTTCGTATTTACAGAATGTGTTTTTTAATTGAATCTTAAAATGAGGGCAGGTGAGACTCTGAGGAGTTACGGCATAAGAGC